TAATAAATGGAAAGGTTATAGTCCTGAAGACAATTCATGGGAACCGGAGTCTAGCATCCACGCTAAAGATTTAATCATTGCATTCAAGCGCAGGCATCCAGAGAAGATGGCCCAGTTGGGCAACCAGAGGCTGTCCTTAGGGAGGGGGTGGTTACAGGGATCTCGTCGATGTGCAGCTGTGTGCGACAGATCCCCTCAGGCCATGGCGGTGCGAGTGCGCATGCGCGGGAGCATGCGGGGCGCGCATGCGCAGAAGTGCGCGCATGTGCAGTAGCATACACGTCAACGCTAGGCGGGCTATTTAAACCTGCAGAACAGTAAAATCAATGCCTTCTGGTCTACAACATCCCTGCACTTATTACCTGATTCTGTTGCCTGTATCCTGATCTGACCAGACTAAGAAAGAACTCCGCCTGCACCGACCTCGGCTATCCCTGACCATCCATTTGCCTGCTCCCATGTATTTGATTTGCTCGCTTAATACTGACCCGGCTTGTCTGACTCTGCTGCACCTACTTACCTGTACCTGCACCTGGCTTGCATCCTGATGGCTGCCATACTTACCTGCTGCTGCACCCACGGTCCTGCACCTGGCCTGCATCCTGGTCACCGCCATACTTACCTGCTGCTGCACCCACGGTCCTGCACCCGGCCTGCATCCTGGTCACTGACATACCTGCCTGCTGCTGCATCCACGCTCCTGTGTCCAGTCCAGTCTGCATCCTGATTGCCGCCATACCTGCCTGCTGCTGCACCTACGTTCCTGCATCTGGATCTCCTGGGTCTCCAGCTACCTGCCGCTAGCTCCAGATCTACCCGGCACTTGTGCCACTCCTGGCTCTGCGTCCTCTGTTCCCACTATCAGTTGCCCCGAGCGGGAGTCGTAAGGGGACGCCTTCTCTCCACGTCAGGCTCCCCAGCCAGGTACGTGACAGTTTATAGGTCACATTAAAAGGTGGAAAAAGTTCTGAAATGATTTATCATTGTCTTAATTTCTTACATCACAGAAACCTGACATTTTACCAGGGGTGTACAGACTTTTTATATCCACTGTATACCCTTTGGGTGCAATGAGAGAAGTGCAGTAAAGGTTACCTGTGCTTATTTAACAGCTGTCCAATCACAGAAAAGCTTATCCCCAGTGGGTTGCGACAGGTGACTGTTAAAATGACTATGTTGCAACCAAAATGCTCAGCCTTGAATAGGCAACATCGTGTCTATATTCCCATCACACATATTCCTGGAAACATCACAAGCAAATGTACATTATCACCAGCACACCATGGATCTCCAAATATGGTCCAAAAAAGTTTTATTGCAGAAGGATCACATCAGAGAAGGAAGTGCAATGTTTCGGAGGCATGCATGACCCCTTTGTCAGGCATGTGCACATTTGGACCATATTTGGAGATCCATGGTGTGCTGGCAAATATGTACGTTTGAATAGGCAGCAGGTGTGAATATCTCTGCACCCAGATGTGATGAGTCCACTGCCCTGCAAGAGAGAGAAGATCAGAGTAACAGGCAATGGACTGGTGAGTAAAAACCCAGTTCTCAGTGACAGAGTTGGTTTAAAATATCTAAGCTAGTCTTTTGCAACCTTTTTCCCATGGAGGAACCTGTCACAAGTTAGCCTGCAGTTTCTTGTTTGTGTTCTTACCTCCTTGTGCAGAGCTGTTCTTGATCCCTTTCACGTGTGTGTTTGTCTGCACTCACCTATGGGCATCGTCTGCTGTCCTCTGGGTTTTATTTCCTTCCCTTCCTGGCTCGCCTCCTTGTTTGCCTGCCTATATAAGACATGCTCAGTCTAGGCCACTTTGCCTGAGCAACTTCGTAGTTGTCAGAGCTCCTGTGTGTTTCTATTGCCTGTATCCTGCATTGACTACTTGTGTACCGACCCTGGCTTTGTTCTCGGACTGTGCTTGTTTTCCGCCCATCCTGACATCAGCTAGTCTATCGGATTTCTGTTTGTCTCCTCCCATTGTACTCTGCTTCCGCAAGTGGTCTTCTCATCCTCAGCTGGGCGTACCCTGGGGCCGTGACCTGGTCCCAGCTTGCTGCAAGTCAATCCCCACCGTCAGGGGCTCTGCTGAAGAAGCAGGCTGGGGCTTAGACTCCGTGCCCTGGGGAACCCCAAGTTGACTATCACCAAGGGCTCACTACCACAGGTGCTGACAGAACCCTTGAAATCGTTTTCAGTTCTCAAAAAACACCAAGTGAAATGTGACCAGCACAGGGCCAACCAGCACTGTCCAGACAGAGGTCAGGGGTTCTGCATCCTCCTAGAGCAGAAAGAAAACTCCTTCTACAAGCTTTAACCAGTGCTCTGCTGAACACTGATAGAAGTCACAAGACTGCTCTAACTGCTGATGAGAAAAGGTATTTAGCAGTTTATAAAAGACAACACAAAAAAAAAAAAAAAATAATAAAATAAAAAAAAAACTTATTAAACAGACAAATAGCAAATAATATATAAAATAATGTCCAAATGAAAGTGCAAAATAAAAGTCCCAATCCAAAGAATGAAAAAAATCTTAAATCCAATGTGCTCCAAAAATTAATGAAAAATTCTCCAGCAAGAGTCTCACAGACATAGGGGCACCAGCTAGTAAGGTTTATAGCCATGATGCCCTCCCAATGAGTTTGCTGTCTGTGATCTGTCATCATCCAGACCACATGTCACGCAACATAGAGGGAGATACAAAATGGAGGGGTTTGGAGAAAAATGGATGACCGCGTCCATCTCTGTGTGCATGATTGCTACAAGACACAGTAAAGATGGCTCTGGAACGCAGCATCCAGCATGCGTTTCACTCACCGGATATGACATCACGGTGTAGCGAGGAAAACCGGACGTTACATTGACGCTTTTCGCCCCTCCTCCAGGGCATTATCAAAGACACTGAACTCCAGTTATTCCTTCCTAAAATACTCCCTTAATGATCCACCCCCTAATAACGATTGAACCATCGATTCCCATTAACTAGATAGTAATAACCGGATATGACATCACGGTGTAGCGAGGAAACCCGGACGTTACATTGACGCTTTTCGCCCCTCCTCCAGGGCATTATCAAAGACACTGAACTCCAGTTATTCCTTCCTAAAATACTCCCTTAATGATCCACCCCCTAATAACGATTGAACCATCGATTCCCATTAACTAGATAGTAATAACGCTGCATGTTCTCATCTATTAGACCCTTCACAACCAACCAGTGGGATAAAATTGATTTACAGACCAACAGAGACAAAGGAGTGAAAAACATACAATCAGGTTGAACATATTTGATGCCATATTAACAAAATCTCATAACTTATTCATTTCTAAACTTTAAAAATACAATATATATACAAAAATGTAAATAAAAAAATAATCAAGTATAAATAATATTTAAATAACTATAATAATTTGAATAATCTAATATCCATCCAAAATTATATTAACAAATGCTTAAATAAATGTTTTGTAAAAAAAAAAATACAAAAATCTATTATGAAGGGATATATTAAAAAAATCTATTATGAAGGGATATATAAAAAAAATTTAAAAATACCAATTAGATAGAAAACAATTAAGGTCAATGTCAACATGTAACCCTCTAGGGCTCAAGGTTCTAAGCTGCAGGATGCACTTCATTTCATTCTGCAAGATTGACCTAGCCAAATCACCCCCAAACCAATGAGGTTCAACTCTATCAATCCCACAAAATCTTAACAAAGAAGGATCCTTGTTGACCCTGGGGTGCCTTGAGATTTCTTCAGGGGTGCCTTGACAAAATGTCTACAAATTGGCCAAAACATGTATGTTTTGTATAAGCCAGCATGTATAAGCCAGCAGGTGGAACAAGCCTGCCTTCTAGTTATAAAAAGCCACAGGTTTTCATTGTGCACTATTACGAACTTCTAGCCGTCGGTGTCCTGACAACCAATGACATCATCAGTTGATAAGGAGGATGTTGGTTGCCTGCACGGCATCTTTGTTGACCCTCCCCTGCCCCTCTCCGTCAATTCTGGGGTCACTATGCTCAGTGATGGAGAAAAACAGAGGGAGAAGAGAAACATTGGAATACTAGTCAGCACCAGTGTGCAAAAATGTATTTGCTTTGGAAGAATAAATCACCTCTAATGTTGGGTGTCCTACATGTGTGGATGTTGCTGCGTTATTTAAAACTATTGGAAAAGCTTTTCACATTTTAAAATGGGGTGCCTCAAGACTGTCCATAATTTCAAATGGTGCCTTGACTGAAAAAAGGTTGAGAAACACTGTCTTCGCCTATAGCAGGGGTCACCAAATGTTCTAAACAGAGGGCCAGTTTACTGTCCTTCAGACTTAAGGGGGCCAGACTGTGGTCATTGTGAGTAGAATAGGTCCTCACATCAGTAGGAATAAACAATACCTGACATTGCTGTCAGTGGGAGGAAAAGAGCTTCATTGTTGGTGTCATTGGGAGGAAATATGCCTCATCATTGGTGTCATTGGGCCCATTGTTGGTGTCATTGGGAGGAATTGTGCCCCATCCTTGGTGTTATTGTGCCCCATTGTTGGTGTCATTGGGAGGAATTGTGCCCCACCCTTGGTGTTATTGGGCCCCATTGTTGGTGTCATTGGGAGGAATTGTGCCCCATCCTTGGTGTTATTGGGCCCCATTGTTGATGCCATTGAGAGGAATTGTGCCCCCTCTTTGATGTCATTGGGTGGAATTTTGCCTCATCTTTGGTGTCATTGAGAGGAATTGGGAATTGTGCCCCTTCATTGGTGTCAGTGGGGGGGGGGTAATTTCCGATTGTTAATCTCAGTGGAAGGAATAGTGCCCCAAGATTCAGATAAAAGCAAGCAAAAGCAATGGTGTATTTTGGATTTGTGCTGCCCTAGGCAAGACTAAAATTGGGCACCCCCCACATCTAAATTTGTCCGGACCCTTCCTGTTTAAGATCCACCCCTTCATCTGTAAACCCCACCCCTTCATATTTAGGCTCTACCTCTTCCTATTAGAACTCCTCTCACTGACACCAATGATGAGGCACTATTCCTCCCACTGACACCAACGATGGGGTACTATTACTTCTACACTGACACCAATGATGGGGTACTATTCCTCCCACACTGGCATTAATGATGGGGCACTATTCCTCCCACTGACACCAATGATGGTGCACCATCATTGGTATCAGTGGGAGGAATAGTGCCCCATCGTTGGTGTCAGTGTGGAAGTAATAGTACTCCATCATTGGTGTCAGTGGGAGGAATAGTGCCCCATCATTGGTGTCAGTGGGAGGAATACTGCCCCATCATTAGTGTCAGTGTGGGAGGAACAGTGCCACATCATTGGTGTCAGTGGGGGGAGGGGATTCGTGTCCCATCATTGGTGTCTGTGGGGGGGGGGGATAGTGCCCCATCATTGGTGTCTGTGGGGGGGGGGATAGTGCCCCATCATTGGTGTCAGTGGAGGGAAGGGAAATAGTGCCACGTCATTGGTGTCAGTGGGGGAGGAATAGTGCCCCATCGTTGGTGTCAGTGGGGGGAGGAATAGTGCCCCATCGTTGGTGTCAGTGGGGGAAGGAATAGTGCCCCATCGTTGGTGTCAGTGGGGGGAGGAATAGTGCCCCATCGTTTGTGTCAGTGGGGGGAGGAATAGTGCCCCATCGTTTGTGTCAGTGGGGGGAGGAATAGTGCCCCATCGTTTGTGTCAGTGGGGGGAGGAATAGTGCCCCATCGTTTGTGTCAGTGGGGGAGGAATAGTGCCCCATCGTTTGTGTCAGTGGGGGGAGGAATAGTGCCCCATCGTTTGTGTCAGTGGGGGGAGGAATAGTGCCCCATCGTTGTGTCAGTGGGGGGAGGAATAGTGCCCCATCGTTGGTGTCAGTGGGGGGAGGAATAGTGCCCCATCGTTGGTGTCAGTGGGGGGAGGAATAGTGCCCCATCGTTGGTGTCAGTGGGGGGAGGAATAGTGCCCCATCGTTTGTGTCAGTGGGGGGAGGAATAGTGCCCCATCATTGGTGTCAGTGGGGGGGGAAATAGTGCCCCATTGTTGGTGTCATTGGGGGGAGGAATAGTGCCCCATTGTTGGTGTCAATGGGAGGAGGAATAGTGCCCCATTGTTGGTGTCAGTGGGGGGGAAATAGTGCCCCATTGTTGGTGTCAGTGGCGGGAGGAATAGTGCCCCATCATTGGTGTCAGTGGGAGGAATAGTGCCCCATCATTGGTATTAGTGACACCAATGATGGGGCACTATTCCTCCCACTGACACCAATGATACTTACCTTGCTGACCCCTGATCCAGCCTGGGCTCGCTCCCTCCCTGTCCCATCCACAGCCATCATACCTGGCTGCAGCAGCACCATCTGAACAGCACAGAGACACTTACCAGTCAGCTGTCTCCTTCTCCGGCTGCTCTCCTCCTCTTCACTCGCTCCGGCTCGATCTTCTTTGATCTTGGCGCTGCAGCTCGGCTCCTCCTCTCCAAGCTCTGCCTCCTCGGCGGCGATTGGCCGCGTGTGTGCCTTTCCTGAGCTACAGTTCCAGCAGCCAATCATCGCGGAGCTTGCAGAGGGAGGGACAAGCTGCCATAGGCTGTTGAGTGATCCGGGGGTGTGGCCAGGTGACAGGGGTGGCATGTCATCCCACCCACACGTCGTGATCCAGGGACAACTTCTCTACCCCTCCTCCAGCAGCACCTCGTAGACCAGATCGACGTGGGACTGGGACACGGAGTCACAGACCCAGGTAAGTAACAGCAGCCCGCCCCTGTACTAAGTGTCCTTTCCGTGGGAAAGGGGGGGCGGCAGTGCCGCCACCCTAAAAAGTGCCGCCCTAGACAAACGCCTTGTTTGCCTCATGGCAAATATGCCCCTGATGCATCTGGCCCCTAGGCTGCAGTTTGGAGACTACTGGCCTACATTGTTAGACTATTTGCTATATTGTTTGAATGTTCTTTACCTCTTCTGGTCAAATGTTCTTACGGCTATTTCCTCTTATGATTGAATGTTAGGGAATGTTACATTCATCCTGCAAAAATCAACAAATAGAGAACCTCTCATTTCACGCCTATTACAAACTATAAGGGGTTATCTCACCTGTGACTTTCGCAAAAAAAATGCTAAAATATTTGCACATTTGCCACTTTTTCTTTATAAATCGACCCCTAGCTGTCTTAAAGCTCAATATGCAATCAATATTTGTTTCTTTACTGAGTAATATCGCTGACATAAAGCAGACATGTTGTCCTCAGCAGCACATTCTGGGTATAGTTTTTGTGAAACAAGAAAACGACCAAACTGAAGGAATCTTACAAAAGGATATCATCATTCACATCCGCCTGCGGTATCATGATGTCTAAATATAGCCCTGACTCTTTTACTGTCGTTTGTAGGCCTCTAAACTAAACTCACAGGAAGACTTTCCTATTTTTTTTATGTGCAACACTATATTATATAGTGCAGACTTTTCTATAAACTGCAGCTGATCTATGTAATATACTGAAGTAAGAGCACATACGAACAAGACAAAAATTATTCCTATGTGCCCTTTTAAAACAAAATTTTTTAAAAATGCCAAGTGTATCTGAAAATGAATGATGATGATGTAATAATAACAATAATAATTAGATTAACCATTTGACCTCTAGAAGGTTTTACCCCCTTTATGACCAGGGCATTGTTTTCTTTACTGTTCAGCACTGTGCTACTTTAACTGGCAATTGTGCTGTCATGGAGCACTGTACCCAAATTAAATGTATATAATTTCTTTTCACATGTCCTATATAGAGCTTTTTTTGTTGGCATTTGATCACATTGAAAAAAACTAATCTGTTACAAACTATGGAAAAATTGATCAGTCCTGCTGTACTGACTGCCTCATTTCTTGCAGCCCTAACAGTACAAACAACACTCCCCCCCTCCCTCATTCTAATATATTTAGTAAGAGGCCCCCCTGATTGCTTCTTGGGGGATCAGTAAGGATTCCCCTGCAGGAGCACATTGGATCATGCTTTGCTGGGTTTTTTTTGCCTTCCTCTGGATCAACTGTGGGTATAGGATTATAACTTTTTTTTTTTTTTTTTAATGGTTGAACTGGATGGACTTTTGTCTTTTTTCAGCCAGACTAACTATGTAATTTTTGTCTCAATTTTTTTCCTTTTTCTTTCCACTATTATTGCCTATAACAGTGATAATAAACAAGATGGCGACCGGAGTGGCCGCATAGTCCTGAGAGCTCCGATCGGCGCACACTCCGATCTGCCACCCCATTCCGACCGGGGGGGACAGCGGGCGCACAGTGGCCTCCCCGACTTCCCCCAGACGCCACGTGGCCTGATACTCCGCCCGGATCTCCACAGCCGCCGTCGCGGCATCAGACAAAGCAGGGCCCGCCACGGCCTGTCACATCCAAGTCCATGGGCCCCCTCCCCTCCCGCACACCGCCCAGCCGCTCTGTGTTTCTGAAGGGGGGGAGCGGCACTGCCCGGAGCTCCGTCTGACCCGACGAGGCGGGGCCTGCCGCACTGCCTTCGGCACCCGGAGTCTCCTGCTTCCTGCTCCCTCCTGTCCTGCTTCCTGCTCCCCGCCGTGTGCTGCACAGCCACCCTCCGTGCCCCTGCCACCGCACAGCCCGGAGCTCCGTCCAATCTGGCAGAGCTGGGCCTGCCACGCGGCCTACAACACCTGCAGACACCGGGCCCTGTTGCGGCTAGCCACCCGCCCATCGATCTAACAGCAGCAAGGGGCGGATGCTGACAACCCCCGAGCCTCCGGCAGTCCACTACAGCGCCCGTCCCAGCAGGGCCAGCTGCGGCCCACTCCTACCAAGCCACGGCCTACTCCATCCAAGACCGCGGCCTGCAGCAGATGACCCAGCCACCCACCACTCTCCCACCACACCAAAAATGACTGAAGGTGAGCAGTGACGACCCCCCAACCTCACCCGCACCTGGAGGGTGGAGCGGTGTCACCCAGACCCCCCCCTCCAAGGCAACTACAGCACCTGGCCTGGCAAGGCCTACCCCTGCACGCTCCTCCGGCAATCCACCCAGCAGTAAGCCAGCAGTCTAAAAGATCGTCAAGACCCAGCACAGCATGCTACCCACAACCGTGAGCCTGCAGTCCCCATATCCTTCTCCTCCTGAACCCACAGATGAACCCGGCCTGCAAGACCCGACTCAGCCTTCCATGTCGTGGCCTGACCTGGACCCGAGGCCCTCCTGCCTACCCCCGTGAGTAGCGAGACCTGCCACAGCCTACCAAGATGCGGCCCGACCCTGACCCGAGGTCCCTCTATCCGCCACCGAAGTAGACCTGGCGAGCGACCTTGCCCCCGGAGAACGGCCCTGCCTCGGTGAGGCCTACCATCCCGGATCTCCTGTGCCCATTGGATGATCAACCCGGCTCTGACCTGAAGCCCTTCGGATGATCAACCCTACCCCGACCTGCAGCCCACCTGTCGACCCCCCTCATAACCCTCCAATCTGGGACTCACACAATCTGGAACTTGCAACCTACAACTTACCAAACTGATCCCTACCCACCCTGATCTTAATCACTAGAACTCCTGCTACTAGAAGCTACTTCAATGTGATACGCCACTGCACGATGGACTATCCGCAACAATGTGCCCTGAGAAACCTTTCACCTCCCTCAACTGTCCGCCACTCCGTTCACCCTCCTAAAATGCCACCTGTACTCCTCCTCCTCCTCATACTCCTCTCCTCCATTCCCAAAATCTCCTCTCTCTACCCCCCTTCTCCTCCAAAACATCTCCCCACTACGGCTCCCACACCTCCTCCTAATATTCCACTCTCCCACCAACCCACTGGCAGACTCACATGCTCTTGCACATCCCGCTCCCATGCCACCTTTCTCACCCTTCTTCTTCTCCTAACCGCCGGGGACATCTCCCCGAACCCTGGTCCCTCACCACCTCACTCACCCTCCAAACTGCCGCAACCCCCTCAAACTAATACCTGTCCCCTTGCTCCCCACAACCACCCCTCCATTCTCGTGTGCACTCCTGAACGCCCAATCGATTTTCAACAAGCTCACTGCCATCCATGACCTCTTTATCTCCTGCTCCCTCAACCTCTTAACGATCACTGAAACCTGGATCCAAGCCACTGACTCCATCTCCCCTGAGGTACTCTCCTATGGAGCTCTCGTCTGGACCCATTCACCCAGACTGAGTGGCCGTAGAGGTGGTGGGGTCGGCATGCTCTTGTCACTGCTGAGTACCTTCCAGGTCCTCCCAAACCCCCCCCCCCCCCCTCTATCCTTCTCCTCCTTTGAGGCCCACTGCATCTGGCTATTCTCTCCTACCCCTCTGAGGATTGCAGTAATCTATCGGCCTCCTGAACCCATATCCCACTTCCTCGACGATTTCTCCGCCTGGTTACCCTTCTTCCTCTCCTCAGAGCTACCCACCATCATCCTTGGAGACTTCAGTATCCTTATCAAAGTCAATACCCAGGCTACATCCCAACTCCTCCATCTAACCTCTTCTCTTGCACTCACACAGTGTACACAGTCCTCCACCCACTCCGACGGGACCTTGTTTTCTCTCATCTTTGCACCCCCCACAACCTCACAAACACCCCTTTCCCCCTCTCTGACCACAACCTCATTACATTCTCCATCTCCCCGTCCTCAAACACCTCCCCCCCCAAACGTCAAACCATCACCAGCCGTAACCTCCGCAACCTGAACCCTGCCCCTCTCCACTCTGCAGCTGACTGACTTTACGACAGTATCCTTCCACTGTCCTGCCCTGACCTGGCCACTACTGCTTATAACAACTCTCTGTCAGCCGGCCTAGACTCCTTAGCACCCCTAACCACACATAGCATTAGACCCCAACCGCTTCAACCCTGGCAGAACAACCACACCAAAATCTTAAACGATGCAGTCGTGTGCTGGAGCGATTATGGCGCAAAACCAGATCCCAACAAGCGTTCACCCTATACAAATGTGCCTTCCTCACCTACACCTCCTCCCTCCACGATGCCAAACAAGCTTACTTCGTAACCCTCATCAATACCCTTTCCTTGCCGACTCTTCTCTACTTTTAACTCCCTACTCTCTCCCCCCCACCTCTACCCAGTACCTCACTCACTGCCCACGAGATTACCAAACCACTTCCAAAACAAGATCGACGCAATTCGTAGGGACATCAATGCTCAGACTTCCACCCCACCTAGCTTCCCTCCCATGATAACCCCCTCAACACTCCCCCTTGCTACCACTGAAGAGTTCACTAAGGTCTTCTCCGAAGCCCGCTTCACCACCTGCCCCCTTGACCCTGTCCCGGTGGGACGCACGTCTGCAAGACTTCTCCAGGTCCTCCCCCATCCTCTGGAACTCACTACCCCAATCCATCAGACTGTCACCTTCCCTCCTCACCTTCAGGCGCTCCCTGAAAACCCACCTCTTCAGGGAAGCCTACCCCACCCTCACCTAACTGCTGCTCTCCTTCATTCCTCCTACCACTCCATCCCCCACAGCCACTTCCTCCTGTACCACTACCCCCTCCCTCCCAGATTGTACGCTCGAAAGAGTAGGGCCCTCTTACCCCTCGTGTGCTGTTCGTAGCTGCTGTAATGTTTCATGTATTGTCCCCCCCTCTATTGTACAGCGCTGAGCAAACCCTTTGGCGCTATATAAACTCAATGTAATGTAATGTAATGTAATGTCCCCACACAACTCCTACGGTCACCCTCCCCCTCCATCCTACGCTCCCTCACTCACATCTTCAATCTCTCCCTCTCTACTGGTACATTCCCCTCCCCCCTAAAGCACGCGCACATCACTCCCATACTCAAAAACCCCTCCCTGGACCCCACCGACCTGAACAACCTTAGACCCATCTCCCTGCTGCCATTTACATCCAAACTCCTCAAGCACTTAGTCAATAATCGCCAAAGCTCCCACCTCAACGACAACAAAAAACTATACTTCCTTGGCCTCAGAGACTCCGCTCTCTCCTGGCTCTCCTCCTATCTATCCCAGTGCTCCTTCAGTGTTACCTCTAACGCTGCCACCTCCCCCTCTCTCCCCCTCTCTGTTGGGGTTCCCCAAGGCTCTGTCCTCGGGCCCCTTCTCTTCTCCATCTACACCTCCTCCCTTGGCCAACTGATACACTCCCATGGCTTCAACTACCACCTGTATGCCGACGACACGCAAATCTACCTCTCTACCCCTCGCCTCACCCCTTCAGTCTCCGCCCGAATCACCCACCTACTGAACGACATATCAGATTGGATGTCACTCCACTTCCTCAAACTAAACCTTTCCAAAATTGAGCTCCTAGTTTTCCCCCCAGCCCGTGCCCCCCCCAACCTCTCCATCACGACCAATAACGCCATCATCAGTCCCACCCCGCAAGCCAAAGTTCTAGGTGTCACTCTAGACTCCAATCTGTCCTTCCAGCCCCATGTCCAATCGCTGGCAAATTCATGCAGGCTCCACCTCCGCAACATCTCCAAAATACGTTCGTTCCTAACCCCAGACACTACTAAACTACTCATTCACTCCCTTATTATCTCACGACTCGACTACTGCAACTCCCTCCTCACCAGCCTACCTCATCACAGACTATCCCCGCTTCAGTCTATCCTGAACTCTGCGGCCAGACTCATCCACCTTACCAACCGCTCCGTATCCGCCACCCCCCTTTGTCATTCCCACCACTGGGTTCCAATTGCCAAACGCATAAAATTCAAACTTCTAACATTGACGTACAAAGCTATTCATAATACTGCCCCAAACTACCTCACCGACCTGATATCCAAATACCACCCTACACGTACTCTTCGCTCCTCACAAGACCTCCTACTCTCTAGCTCCCTGGTCTCCTCCTCCCATGCCCGACTCCAGGACTTCTCCAGGTCTTCCCCCATCCTCTGAAACTCACTACCCCAATCCATCAGACTGTCACCTACCTTCCTCACCTTCTCACATTTCCTCCTGTACCACTATCCCCTCCCTCCTAGATTGTAAGCTCCAAGGAGCAGGGCCCTTTAACCCCTCGTGTATTGTATTGTTACTGTATTGTCTCATGTACTGTCTCCCACTATAATGTACAGCGCTGAGCAAACCTTTTGGCTGTATAATATAATACAAATATATATAATTTAATATAATTTATATAATATAAATACTGTATAATAATAATAGTAGTAATAATTACTGTTATAAGCAATGGTGTTAACTGTCATGAACGGCTTTCATTCATTACTTTGTGTTTGCCGTTATTGGTCACAAGTGATCACATGATACAGAGTGTTGTGACTGGCCCAGGTACCATATATTCACTTGTGACCAACTACAGTATTAAACAAAATTTGGTTTCCATTTACAAATTGTTTTCTTACATTGTAATCATGTGATCACTATGATTGGTCATAGCAATCACGGCCATTAACAGCGGCGACACGATGTACCAGTATGTCTCACCTTCCACACTTCATTCTCGTACATACTGCCCAGTGTCTTACCCTCCACACCTCTCTTCCGTACATACTGTCCACTGTCACACCCTCCACACTCCTCTCCCGTACATACTGCCCACTATCACACCCTCCACACTCCTGTCCTGTACATACTGCCCACTATCACACCCTCCACACTCCTCTCCCGTACATACTGCCCAATGTCACACCCTATACACTCCTCTACCCTGTACATACTGTCCACTGTCACACTGTCACCCTCCACACTCCTCTCCCGTACATACTGTCCACTGTCACACCCTCCACACTCCTCTCCCGTACATACTGCCCACTGTTACACCCTCCACACTCCTCTCCCGTACATACTGTCCACCGTCTCACCTTCCACACTTCTCTCTCGTACATACTGTCCACTGTCTTACCCTCCACACTCCTCTCCCGTACATACTGTCCACTGTCACACCCTCCACACCCCTCTCCTGTACATACTGTCCACTGTCATACCCTATACACTCCTCTCCTGTACATACTGCCCACTGTCATGCCCTATACACTCCTCTCCTGTACATACTGCCCACTGTCACACCCCCCCACACTCCTTTCTTGTAATAGTCTGTAAAAATGAGGACCTATGTACATTAACTGTGCAATGTAACACATCATTCTGTGTTTGATGCAGAATTGCTCCTCTAGTTACATAGTTAGTCTGGCTGAAAAAAGACAAGTTCAACCATAAATTGTGGAGTCTATAGTGGTGGAGTCTTTTCAGAACACAATATCAGGAGCTTGCTATGGTAAGAAAGTAGCAGATTAGATGCAGCTTTGCTCAACCAATGACTAATGAATCTATGCTGCTGTCACATTAAAAAGCCTATTTGATTAAAAACAAACTGTGTTTTTTAATCCATATTTAAATGTGCTTTTCATTGATTGTGTGTTTTAGTATGCATATTCTGTACGCATTTCATGGAAAAGGTGAGGTACTAGCTCTAACCCTGCTATCTTTCTGCAGCTGTGTAAACTAAAACACATGTAAAATGTACTCTCTCCATCAATAAGGGCCACTGAGAAAATCCGAAGAGGACCTTGCTTTTCATGTCACTGGACTAAAGACCTCAGAAATGATAATGGAGGGAGAATGCAGTCTTTCAATAATGGTAACACAGAAGCTTGTGTTTTTCTGTGTCCCCTCTATGCCATTTTATTACCTCTCAATCCTGCCAGTAGGTTAGTTATTTTTGAACTTCCTTTAAAGTGGCACTGTTTAAGAAAACATTACTGGTAGGTAATTCAGAAGGGACTGCACAGCTTGAAATTCCTTGGATGCTGGGATTAATCAACTCCCATTTGCTTGTATGGCAGTTACGCCATCCAGTCAAGATGGCCAAAGGCCGAAGTTACTGAACCTGGTAAAAGACTGGGCACAGATGTCAAGGCTGGCAATAGAGCAACAAGTAAGACTATGGTCATCACATTGCTGAATGGCGTGTTATGGAAGGCACATGTGCCATAATCTGCAAATATGCCGTATATACTTGTACATTATGGTAAAACTCCTGAGGACACTTGGTGGACCTTAGGATGAACAGGCCAAGCCAGCTTTCCAGCAAAAATGACGGTTACAAGGCTGGGATAAACCATTTAACAAAGTGAGGGGTGCTTTCAATGGCCAACTTTTATTACTATGGTTTGAAGCTTTTTTTTTTTATGTTTCAGCTTAAAAAGTAGTTGATGCTTGGAATAGACTTTCAGCAGAGGTGTTGAGTCAGTTTAAGTGGATGCAAACATATAGTGACATTATGAAAGGTGAGGTGATTGAGGAACCCTATGTATAACCGCCCATGCTTTCATATGCATAGAACTAAGGTGGAATTAAGGTGGACAAAAGTGTTTAGTTTGAACAGCAGTAGCTGGATACAGTGAGTTTAAGTTATTTCTAAATTTTTTTATAGTATTTCTAGTTGTGGAAATTGCAGTTCAGTGTTTCTAAATGTAAAATAAGGTACCTAAGGAAAAAAAATCCCTTGAGAGAGTACAACATTGGGGGTACAGTGTTGGCCAGCACTTCAGAGGAAAAGGACTTGTGGGTATTTATTTCAGATGATTGCAAAATGAGTAACGAGTGTGACCAGGCAGTGGGGAAAGCTAATAGAATTCTAGGATGCATCATTAGAGAGGTCACCAGCAAGAGGAAGGAGGTCCTGATTCCCCTATATAGATCTTTAGTTAGACCTCATTTAGAATACTGTGTCCAGTTCTGGAGATCTCACTTACAAAAAGATCTTGATAAGGCAGAACGAGTTCAGACATATGGTGAAAGGTCTGGGGGATAAAACATATCAAGAGCGACTTCAGGAACTTAACATGTACAGTCTGGAAGAAAGAAGGGAAAGGGGAGACATGATTGAAACCTTTAAATACATCAAGACGGTGAACAAGGCTCAGGAGGGCAGTATTTTCAACACAAAGCTAAAATGAAGAACACAGGGACATGACCTTAAACTAACTGGAGGAAAGTTAAAATCTCAGAAAGTACTATTTTACTGAAAGAGTAGTTGATGCTTGAAATACAGTTCCAGCAGAGGTAGTGAGCCAGTCAGCAGTAAACAGCTTCAAACTTGCTTAGGACACGCAGAGATCTATACTAAGACCAAAAAGTTAACAAAAAAATCCCAGAAAAGCAAAAACAAAATAACCCACAAACAAACATACTCCTCCCTCCCCCCCCAAAAAAACCTCCAAAACCTGGCAGTGGGGGTGGTACCCTCACTACTTCATGAAGCCATAGTAGGGAGAGATTTTCCACATTTTTTGATTTGTGGGAAAAGGAGTAAGGGGGACAGAGCTCGCCCTGATGGGGAAACACCTAACCTCACTCCTGACCCTTTTAACTGCAAAGTTGAAGGATAAATTGTTGGTGTGTCCAAGGAAGGAGTAGGTTCTTTTCCTTTCTCTGTAATGGCTGGGCAGCAGGAGGAGCTGAATATCAACTCAGAGCTTGAGAATAATTAACAAGAAATTATATCTGGCTCTAATTTGAGTGGACAGAATGTGGTGCCTGATTTAGAGGTCAGAAAAGAGGATTTTTGTACAGAACAACTGAAAGACTCCACACTTTATAGAGCCAGAGAAAACATTAAACTGATTGATGGGGAACCAGTTGAACCTGATGTAGGGGTGTCTTTTCCCTACATAGCTCTTAAAAACAGCTTGCTATATCAAGTGGTAAAGCAAAGGGAGGAGGTGGTGGAGCAGTTAGTGGTTCACAAACCATATCACCTGTTTTTAGATGTAGCCCATAGTCATATAATGTGTGGACACCTGGGTATAGAGAAAGCTATGGAGAGAATAACCCAGCTATTCATTTGGCCAGGTTTACATGCAGATGTCAAAGAATATTGTGAGTCATGCCAAGAGTGTCAGTATTCTGTACCATCGTACCATTTTTGCACTCCGCTGGTACTTTTTCTGATAAGTGAAGTGCTTTTTGAAAGAATTGGCATGGATCTGGTGGAACAAGTGGTAAAATCTAGCAGGGGACATCAGCACATAATGGTAATACTGGACTATGCCACATGGCATCCTGAAGCCATTCCCTTATGTAATACCTCAGTGAAGGCTATTGCCAAAGGTATTTAGTCGTGTGGGTATTCCAAAAGAGATATTAATGGATCAAGGCACACTACTTATGTCCAGAGTCAGTAAAGAATTGTGTAAGTTGGTCAAAATCTCCCATCTCTGTCTACCACCCCCAAACTGATGGTCTTGTGGAGAGATTTAACAAGATGCTCAAAAACATGTTAAAAAGGTGGTGGACAAAGATGGGAGTAATTGGGATTTTTTTCTTACCGTACCTCATGTTTGCTATTCGAGAGGTACCTCAGGCATCTACAGGTCACACCCGGTGACGTCATCGCGCATATGTTGCGCTCCTCGTACAGTCCAGAGCTCAGTACCAGGCTCCTTCCACCATGCCGACAACACTGACAGAAGGTCGATCACCACCTACAGCTGCACATTCTACTACTCACTGTGGCGATCTCTCCCATAACGGATATTGATGTGCCTGTTTTAGTCTACCCTCTTGTAAGTTGCTCTTCACTGTGTGCAATAAATGTGTTTTAAAGTCTACATTTAGAAGCACCTTTCTCCTTTCTGTCTTACATGCACCATTCTGGAACAAGTTTCAATCCAGTGAGAGGCAGCCACAAGTGTAAAGGACTTTCCTCATCTTGCTGTATAAAGATACTTTATTAGCAGTGTTACCAATTACACCCATTGTCTATACCAACCAACTGTATCTTTACGGGCCTTGCATAATTTCAATCTTCGTGGCTAAACATTATTGTTCCATTTATTTTACATGATGCTTTTTTGCATTTAACCCATGGTTATTCTGCCACCTTTGGACTCTGATTAGGTTGCTCAGGTTATTACAGGTTACTCACCTTTTGAACTACTGTATGGTAGACATCTCAGGGGATTGCTGGATGTCACGAAAGAAATGTGGGAGAGACCACACTCTATAGAAGCGACAAGCATATCTCGCTGATGCAGGATAGAATCACAGTCATCATGCCGCTTGGATGATAACATATGGAGCAAGCCCAGGAGGCCCAGAGAGGGGTTTATAATTGGGGTGGCAAGATCCGTACCTTCAGCCCTGGGGATATAGTGCTGGTACTAGTCCCCATGGTTGAGAGTAAATTTCTAACCAAGTGGCAAGGTTCCTTCGAAGTTATGGAAAGAGTAACAGAAGTAAGCTATAAAGTTTACCAGCCAGGGAAAGGGAAACTAGAGCAAATATATCACATTAATCTCTTAAAACCTTGGAAAGACACCTGAGGTACCCATAACTGAAACCTTGACAGTGGCCCAACAGAATGATGTTAAAGAGTTTGTGAGAAAAAATAGAGACTTTTTCTCTCACCTACCCAGACTGACCACAGTTATACAGCATGACATAATTACACCACTGGTTGTCTGGGTAAATGTAAAGCCCTATAGATTACCAGATGCCACGTGGGAAGCAAATGAAATAAGGAACATGTTAGAGTTGGGAGTGATCGAGGCGTCCCACAGTGACCGGTCAGGTCCCAAGTGTTGGTCCCAAAGCCAGATGGAACTAAAAGATTTTGAAATGATTTCAGAAAATTGAATAGCGTGTCCAAATTCAATGCATACCTGATGCCCCGGGTGGATAAGCTCATTGACAAGTTAGGAACTGCCCGATACATAACTAGTTTAGATCTGATTAAAGGCTATTGGCAGATACCCCTAATGGAATGTGCAAAAGAAAAGACAGCATTCTTTACTCTCAATGGTTCCTTCCAATATAAATGGATGCCTTTTGGTTTGCATGGTGCTTCTGCCTCATTCCAGAGAATGATGGACAGGACATTAAGACCACATAACCAATACACAGCCGCCTATTTGGAGGATGTAGTCCTCAACAGCCCAGATTGAGAGTCTCATCTGCCCCGGGTGCAAGCAGTTAC